GAAGGAAGGAAGGAAGGAAGGAAGAAAGAAAGAAAGAAAGAAAGAAAGAAAGAAAGAAAGAAAGAAAGAAAGAAAGAAAGAAAGAAAGGTATTCCCTCTGCTGTTAGGAACACCATATCCCCATCCCCCATTCTCTCTCTCTCTCTCTCTCTCTCTCTCTCTCTCTCTCTCTCTCTCTCTCTCTTGCTATCTTTCTCTCTCTCTCTCTCTCTCTCCCCCTCTCTGTCTGTCTCTCTCTCTGTCTGTCTGTCTTTCTCGATCGCTCACCCACCCACGCGCTCACTCTCACCACCAGACCAGGCATCTGTGACTTTATTATTCACATACTTAAAATAACCGACCTCATCCCTCATTTCATACGAATGCAAATGAACTCCTGTGTTATTCTGCAGACACAGGTGCTATTTTCACTACTAAGATAAACTGGTCTTGAAAATACACTAATGGAGAGCCTAACTGAATCTGTCGAGCTGCTCACTTTGTATTCCATGGATTGATAGAAGGATTTCTCTCTTACATTGACATAAGCCTAAGATTCTTTGGTCTAAAAATATAAAATATATATGAAATAAAATACTTCAGAATCCTACCTGTGACCAGAAAGCTGCATCTTCCAGCTCCAGCTTCATTCATGATGCTGCAATTGTAAACTCCGTAGTTCTCATTGGAAAGGCTCTTCACGGGGTACTCCGTGTACTCCTGAGAGTCAAACTGACCGGTCCGTAGTAACTTATTGCCCAAGCGCCACTCATACGTCAGCACCCTTATCGGGTAGGCTCTCAGGACCCTGCAGCTCATAGTGACGCTCCGGTCCTGCCCTTGACGGATTTCCAAGAATGCCGGTTCCACAGCAGGCGGATCTGTAGAAAAGATGTATTAAAATACATGAGCGCTGAGGCTTATAGTAAGCCAATCTTATTGGCTGTTCTTATTATAAAAAGCTATTTTTTAAGAACACAAGCCATTGAGAAGCAGTATAAAACGTGGGTGTAGAAGGGACTTAGGCCCAGGAATTTCATCTGGGAAATTAGGTTTTCTGAATGTGGGTGGTGAATGGGCCTCACTCTTTTACAACTGCTTTCTGAAAATATTTGCAGGTTAAAAAGCAGAGTTGAACCTTTGTTCTTCCAGCTGCTATTCAAATGAAATTGTCATGATTGTTTGTAATGTCAGTCCCAGTCCCTACATAAAACTCTGGATGTGAAATGCAAAATAAACCCTGGGCTTCAACCTCCTATGAGATTTGAAATAGAGACTGCTGTTGGTTCAAGTCGGTAAATTCTAAATAATCCCTGTAGGGCTCAGTCCATGGGTGTCTGAGTACTCTTTAATTAATAAAATGCTATCATATAAATGTACTTTATTATATATTATTATATAAACATTTACATAAGTGTATGTTCTAAATTAATTGCCTGCAAATCATGATATTCACATAAAAGCTTTATACAAATTTAGCAAAATATGAGATAGGTAGAAGAGGTTCCAGCACTCTACAGTGCCTCATTCATGTAGCAAAACTGTAGATTTTTTTTTAAATGCAATTAAAACTTGCTTCCTAACCTAGGTTAGGTACCTAACCTTTGGTTTTGAAAAGAAGACTTCCAATACTTTGGGTACACCCACTTAAGTTACATAAAATGCAATAAAGTACACAAAATGCAATCAGTTTATTACTACTTGCATGGACATAATAAATTTAGATTATTTCATCTGTTTTTTAACATGTATTTAGTACAGGGTCTACAGGGTTTCATCAGATTTAATCATGTGACTCATTTATCATATTATGAGAAATCTATAAAACCACTTGAGGTTGCAGTTACTTTCACCATTGAATATATATTATTGTGAGCTGAACAGTTTAAAAATTCTTCAGCTAGACTCTGGATTTTACTTCATGATGCTAAAAGTTTTCAGAATTACCACTCTATAAATGTCTTGTTTTTATTCTTTATGTGTTATTTTATTTTCTTAAAATAATATGATATTGGTCTCTCTTGCATTTCATTTTATCTACTTTTAAATATGATATTGGCTTTTCTTAATGTCAGTCTGTTCACTGATCCTTTTTGTTTTTGCAAATATTTTCTAACTCCAATTTCAGCCCTGCATCACTCAATTTTGATTCTGAGGGCCTTTTTCTTAAAGTGTTAAGAATTCTTAAAAATGTGTTAAACTAAAAAAAAAAATTTTCTAAACTAATAAATCTTTGTCATGGTGGCCTTCATCGTTTAGCACAAAAGGCAGAGGTTTAGAAAACTCATTTTCAGAAAGTGAAAAACAACTGCAGGTTGTAAATAACGAAGCAGTGAAAGCAGCCCCGAGGACTGAAGCAGGCAAGCCTTGGCCAGACCTGTGAGCTCAACTGTGCCTTCCGGGGTACACAGGAGATGGTCGGGTGACACACGACAGGAAAGGCAAACAGGAGCCGGAGAGGAGGGCGTGTTCAGAGGAACACAAGCCATCAGAGCCACTGGTGCACAGAGCCCCAAGAGACACTGAGAGGAAATGAGGTAGAAAGGTAAGGTCCATGCAGCGGTCACTGCACACGGTGTTACAGAGTCTGAGTTTCAACTTTGGTATTGGGAAAATTTCAAAAAATTAGTGCATGATTTACATGATTAAAATGTTATTATTGCGGTCATTGTTATCTATGAAAAATATTGTAGCAAATCAGGGAACATGAGCCACATAGTGCAGAGAAAATGACAGGAGGGGTGAAAGCGTGAACTAAGGTGGGATATGTGTAAAACAAGTGATACTGTAGGCAATGAGATGGGCACCATATCCACCAAGAGGACAGGAGGAAAGGAACAGGCAGTGTGGGGTACGGGGGTCATGCTGTTTCTGTGCATATTTGAGCAAGGGCAACTAACAGCAAAGTGTGTCTTCCTTTCTAAACACGTGGTTCATGTTTGACTATCTCTTTGCATTTGATTTTTTATTTAGTTGAGTAGTGGTCTGAAAACACTTTTCCGTCATTCAGATTTGTTGACACCTGTTGCATGGGTCAGTAGATCAGATCTGTGTCCTGGCTGTGGCTATCAAGAGTTCCTTTTGCTTTTCAGGGTTGGGATTTGTTGGGATTTCTTTAATCTGTTGATTTAAATTTTCTACCTGTCATCTAGAGACATTTGGGAAACCTTCAACATTAGCCCTTCAAACAACACTCCTATTACATTCTTAAAACTCTCTTGTGCGGATTGTTTTTGTTATTTTCCATGTCTTTAACACTCCTACCAGATTTCCTTTTTGTCTGCTTATCTGTGCTACATTATTAATAAATTTTCTGAAGTGATTTTTTAATGTTATGCTTTCTACAGCTCTAATCCGCTAAACTCATTAACTGTGCTATTACTTCTAATATTGTAGATTTAATTTATACATTTTAAGTGTGAGTACTTTCAGATTTGCTAGATCACATTTGTATACTGCTGAATTGCCTGAAAATGCTGTCAAGTTTGCCTTTTTATGTCTTCAAACAAAATATTTTTGCACTGAGTGGCAATGCCAAGCAAAGGTTTAAGGGTGTTTCTCGCCAGTATTTCCTGACATTGTTTCTCTGTGTTCTTGGTTAATTTTCACCTGCACTGTCTGTGATCATTCAAAGATATTTGGGAGTACTTTGAACATGAAAATTTTGTATTTTTCCCAGAAATTTGTGCGCATAGTCAACTATCAGCATTGTATTAAAGTCATGCCTTAAGCCTTATGTGAACTACCAAAGAAAATGAATTTGCATCAGGGCCACTGAGATAGCTCAACAGACTAAGTGCTTGCTTAGGCAAGCACAGGAGCCAGAGTTTGATCGCTGGCACCACATGCCATGCCAGTCTCACCCCTGGGAACACTGAGTGGCGCACACCTGTAAACCCAGCACTGGGGAGGCTGAAAACAGGAGGAGCACTATGAGTCCAGGCTGTGTAGTGAGACCCTGTACCAAATACACACAGAAAGAAAGAAAGAAAGAAAGAAAGAAAGAAAGAAAGAAAGAAAGAAAGAAAGAAAGAAAGAAAGAAAGAATTTGAGCCCCAAATCCACATAATGGTGAGCTTTCCAAACTTTCGAGTATGTATTTCTGTGTCTCCATCACCCTGGTAACTTCAATGGAAAGTTTCAAGAGTGACAATTTACAGACCTGCCTGGTTTGCTTCAGATTTATTCTATAGATAAAACCTTTGAGTTCCAACTTTGGAGGGAGGTTCTACCATTTTGATCATCTCCATGGAAACAGGCTCTGTTTAGTGTTCTTCACCATGATTTCGGCACTGGGCCTGGGGAGATAGCTTGGCAGCATAAGCATCAGCCTGGCAAGCACAAGGACTTAGGTTCCATTCCCCGTATCAAATGCAATGGACCCCAGTTTGCCATCCCTGAAACTGAGCCCGGTGGCTCACGCCTGTAATCCCAGGGCCAGGGAAGCTGACACAGGAGGTCCACCATGAGTCTGAGCTACATAGAAAGACCCTGTACCAAATACATAAAAAATTTTTAAAAAAACACTTCCTCACCTTTCCCCCAGATGTCATAAAACTGAATTTCAAATTTGCTCATGTCAGTAAATGAACACAGGGCAAAGGAACCCTATCTTATTGCCTTTGTCACAATTAGGCAAGATATTGCTAAAATATTTAATACATTTAATAATATTTACAAAACTACTTCCCAGTATTTTCATTAAAAATTTTCATAGAATATCCTTATACATATTAAAAAAACACATGTCTCTGATAACAGAGTGAAAATATATGACTAAAATGGATAAGAAAAGGCTGATTGAGTGTTAGAGAGTTGTTGAGACATCTCAGAGTGAGACAGAAGTGCAAAAGTTGGATTTCCTCCTGAATATAATCACTTTCAGGGTTGGAGCACAATGAAAGTCCCTAAAGGACGACAAATATAAAAGTAGATATAGATATGCGGGAGGCGTGTTATAAAAGTTAAAGGAGTCATTGTTTCAGAGAACAGGATTGAAACTATCAGATACTAGATAGAAAGCAGTTAAGCACAAAAGTATCTACTTTTGACAAGTTGGATGCAAAAAATTATAGTAATGAAAGTATTTTCTGTGGAGTACGTATAATCTGAGTAATAGGTTTGGAGCATAGGAATATCTGGATAAACAACAGGGAAAAGTAATGGCAATTGTTTGTTCAAGAGCTCTCTGGGTAAAAATGATGGTTATTACTACCTTAAAAGTTATATTTACTGCTATCCATTCCATCCACCTCTAGTACCTCTACCATTATCTATCAGATAGACTACACCAGATTTCCTACAGTAGCGTCCTACAGGCCAGTGTGCCTCCAAGTTCAGTCATGACATTTTCTCACTTCGTTTAGTCACATGTTGTCATTATTTTTGGTTTATGGTCTTTAAGGAGAAAATGTCTCATATTTTCTATTTTTTTCTAGACTTAATTCATTACATTTTTCTTGTGTAAAAACCCATTATGTTGTTGCTACTGGAGGAGCTTGAGTCCTCTGGGCAGAGACTTTGCTGTGGGTTATCAGAAGATGGGCGGTGAATTCCTGATAGGGAGACTTGGTGAGCCAATCTCTTTCTAGAAGTCAGGGGTCAGATAGCTGTAGGTCTTGGAGATGGCATCAAAGGTGGCTTTAGCAAAGTTGCCCAAAGTAGCAGTGCAGCCCCTAGCAGAGTTGTTGCAATCATTAATACCAGCCATCAGCAGCAGCTTCTTGGGCACAGGGGCTGAGACAATGCCAGTGCCTCTGGGGGCAGGGATCAGACGCACCAACACAGAGCCACAGTGGGCCATCACCTTGCAAGGAACACTTTCTTGTTTGAAACACTTCCTTGCTTCTGCCCTGCTTGCTACTGAGCCCTTCTCCATTGT